TCATTCATAATTATCACGTTCTTATAAGAGTAATTACATTATTAATTGTATGCCAACTTTGTAGATAGTTTTAAATCAACCTGTTCAGACATGTTATGACACCCCTCTGGAGCAGTGCGACTTCAACCTGAACCTTGTAGCTCAGACATAGGAACATCTTTACTGTGCTACAAGAATCCTCAGACCTAACTTTGTATATCAAGATTAATTGGCAAATATAGTGCAAATCCATCATTTTAATGAAATTGAATTGGCGATTAAGAATGAGAAGGTATTTTGGGAAGGCAACAAAGGGGTGGAACATATTAACCGGTAACCTCTGATGATTGCCATTCAGCTCTTCCTTATTAAACATTGGTGGCCAATTTATACATGAATATTGGTGTGCATAAGTCAAACGCTATTAATTTAACAGGAAATTCTAGGCCATTATTGCTCCAATGTTTTCTGTTAAAGCACCGCCCAGCAAAATCAGAATTCAACTGCATCACATTGTGTCAAAGTCAGTAATTGTTCACCAATTAGGCATTTGATTAAATTTAAAAAATAAACTTTATAAATAAGGATACAAATTAATCAAACCTTTGCGGTATGAAGCAGAGAATCCATGGCTGACCACATGCTTATCTGAGTGGAAAATGATTGACATCACATGCCAAGAAGAGGTAAAGTGAGGAGGAAAGACTTTTCCACAAAATGTACCCAGAAGATTTCCCTCATCCTCGGGCACTCCATTATAGATTTTAATGTAATCATATTCGCAGTAAGTGTGAAATTCAAGGTCAAAGTAATGGAAGGTGAGCAAAATGGAGGAGCCCTCTGTAACAACAATGAGCCATGTACATTTAGTATCATATGGATAATATCCTGGGAAGTTAGGGCTGGAGAAATTCCCATTCGTTGCCGAAAGTATGCCGCCACATTTAACCCCTAATGGGAAAAAAAGCAAAAAAATTATGCTTTTCTGTAACATTTGCTTCAATGCTTTAAGAATGTTAATAATTTCACATAAAAAAGGCCAAAAATTCAATAATTCAAGAGATAACATAGCAGTTGGTGTGATAAAAGAACCATTCAGGAATGTTGCAGATTTCATCCCTTTCAAATGAACATAGGAGCAGGAGAAGGCCATTCATCCCATCAGCCACTTACACTACGGTTGATTGGACACATACCCACACTATCCCGATAACCCTTTACGCCATTGGTAATCAGAAATCTATCAAAAAAACATACTCAGTTAAACATTAAACATCAAAACATACTCAGACTGAGCATCCACAGCTAGGATAGAGAACTTCAAAGATGCACAATTTTCTGAATAAGACAAATTCTCATCTCAACTCTAAATAAAATTCTGCTCACTTTTTAAATTGTGCCCCTTGGTTCCAATCTCCCCAACCAAGGGAACCATCTTTCCTGCAACTAAAACAAAACAAAACTGTGGATGATGGAGATCTGAAACAAAAACAGAAATGGTTTATGACACTCATGATCTGGAAGGATCCGTGGGGAGAAAGCAGAGTTAACATTTCAAGCAAGTCCGATGACTCTTCATCAGAACTAAATTTCGCCAGCAATTTATTTCTGCTTCCTACATCTATGCTGTTTATCCCTTTATATAACTTGTAGGTTTCTATGAGATCAAAACTTTATAGAATACAGGCCCAATTTACCCAATCTCTCTTCAGAGGACATTTCCACAATCCAAGGAACAAGTCTGCTGACCCTTCATTTAACTCCCTATATGATAATAATATTTTTCCTGAGGTAAGGAGACCAAAATTGCACACAGTAGTCTAGGTGTAGTCGAACCGAGCTCCGATACAATTGAAGCAAGACTTCACTACTCCTGTACTCAAATCCTATTGCAATAATACTAGTAACCTTCCTAATAGCTTTACATCGAGTTACCTGATCTCAGCTATGAGACTGTTATTTTACAATTGAAAGAACTTCATTTTTAAATCATCATTCAAGGCTGACCAAGTACATCGTGTCAGAAAGAACAAAGGCAGTGACCACGTACACAGCTCCACGTAAAACTCAACAATGGATTGAAAATCACCAGATTTTCATTTTCACCAAAATTACAAGTTTTGAAATTGTAATCACAATTTCAGCCTGAGTACAAACACTGCTTTGAGAAAGCAGTTAACATCATAAACTAGATAGTCAGTATTGTCTGAAATTTATACTTCTGTCTCTATTGGCTCTCAGTTCGCTGGAAATTGACTTCAATCACACTTTTTTCTTATCAAGTTTGAAAATAGTCTCCTAAAATCAAGGCAGGAAAGATAGCATTTTATCTGCTTAAACCCATGAGATCTATATGTAACAGTTTAGAACATACAGACAATGGATGTTTTACCTGGTCTGGCTGTGACTCTGCAGACAATCCACAATAGTAAGACACCCAAGGCAAACTGAACTACACTATTTTGCATTGCTGAACATATAAAGAAAACTAAAAACCCAGACTGGAAAGGCAAAATTATATAATTCTTTGCAGCAACATATGAAGTAATACACAATGGTAGTGGAATTAATAGTGGCATTAATAATTCAATCGTAGTCTGCATTAGTAACATGATCCATCTCTGGTTCCTTTCATTAAATATTAATAAGCTAGGTCCACTGTCCTCAGCTTCCACAATGCACTATACAACTTGTTGTACAATCTTTGAAACAATCATATAAATATTTAATTCACTCAAGTCATAAATTTTCTTTTGTAAATTTAGGGATGATCCCAGCTTCATTAAATCCTTTACGGAAAGAGTCATAATTAACATTAAAAATTGATTCATTAACAGGTGCTGGACCAGTTCAAAACTGGTATTTACAAATGTCCCAAAATGACTTAGAATTGAAAGCTTTAATTACTGTAATTAGAAATTCACAGACATCAGCTCAATGAGACTCCACCCCACCTCTGACCTCTCTTGGTAGCAACGTCCCTTTTAAATCAAGTATTCACTTGTTCATTTTGAAAAATAATTTTTGAAATTCTTTGCAATATTCAATTAAATTTTATCCTATTGGGTAACCCCAAAAATTATGCATATGTGAGTATTCAGGAAATTATATTATCAGGCACAGCTATGAGGATCTTCATAGTTGAACAACTTGTCAACACCAATATCTAAGAACATACTGTACAGGTTGAGTTACTTGATCCCAGCCACGCGACCGCTATCTTACAATTGGACATAAGAAAGAACTTCATTTTTAAATCATCACTCAAGGCTGACTAAGTATATTGTGTCAGAAAGGACACAGGCAGTAACCAAGTACACAACTCCACGTAAAACTACTTAGGCATGGTTCCAGTCAACAGCTGGTGCCCATGGTACATTATCTCCTCAAGCCTGCTCAGCCATTCACTATCATCATGGCTTATCTGATTACTTCAGAATCCTGATCATCTTCACCTCCTTGCTTACAAGAATCTATCTACTTTTTCTTGAAAAATACTCAAAGACTCTGCTTCCACTGCCTTTTGAGGAAGGAAGTCAGAAAAAAGTTCTCTCCACTTCTCTCCACAAATGGATGATCCCTTTTTTAAAACAGTGACAGTTATTAGTTCTAGATTCTCCCACAAGCAGAAAACTCCATTTCACATCCACCCTCTGTTTCAATCAAGTTACGTCTTACTCTTCTAAACTTCCGTAGATATAAGTCTAGCCTGCCCAACTTTCCTCATAACACCACTTGTCCCCTCAAGGTTGTCTTATGGGGAAAGGATGCAGTCTTTATTTTCTCTAATCATTAATGATAAAATAACTCCTCATTACCGTATTTAATCACGCTATACTCTCCATTCCACACGTGGAATAAAATGGTACACTGATATTTCTCCATTACGGATAAATAACAAATATATTGATCAAATTAATGTGTCTATTTTAAAATTGAGTTTATTTTCATTAGGCTTATTATGAGTATAACAAGTCTCCTACAATTTGTCTCATTATTTAACTGTTCATGTTTTGATAGGACTTTATCACAGATAGTGGGAATTCAGGGTTGTTTTTCTGAAATCTCAAATAATTGTATCAATCATATCTTGTTGCACCAAAGTATAAGAGTATGGTACAATTGGCCAATGATATTATTAATCTAACGATACATTGAGTTCTGGGAAGCAGTCTGAGACTTTGGACATTATTGAAGGTGTAGATGGATGGGGTAGTGAAGAGGACAGCAGACCACCAAAGCCAGTCTGTACCAAGATAGCTGCCTCGGTCAATGTTGTGACCAGGGTTCAACAGTCTAGAATTGCAGGGGTGGCATGGTGGCTCAGTAGTTAGCAATGCTGCCCCAAAGCTCCAGGGACCTGGGTTCAAATCCAGCCTCAGGTGACTGTCTATGTGGAGTTTGCACATTCTCCTTGTGTCTGTGGGTTTCCTCCCACAGTCTAAAGATGTGCAGGTTAGGTGGATTAGCCATGCTAAATTGTCCATAGGGATGTGTAGGTTAAAGATTAGCCAAGGGAATTGCAGGGTTATGGGGGTAGGGTAAGGGGACGGATCTGAGTGTGATGCTTTTTGTAGGGTTGGTGTGGCTGAATGGCCCACTTCTATACTGTAGGGATTCTATGAAGGTGAATGATCTTTTCCACTCTGCAAGGATAAGTCTTTCGATTTACTCTATCTCACACCCACAGGGACACCACTCACTCTAACCCAGCCACTGCACATGCCTCTTACCAAGACTCTTGGACTATAACTCTCACTATTGCACACATATCCACTCAACACTCTCACCCATTCCATCCTCCCAAATTACTAAACCTTCCTCACCTCTGCATCTCACTTACTCAGGACATCTCACCATCTGTATTGCTCTTCTATTACCACTAAGGGCTCCTTCAATCACTTCCATCATAATCATCCCCTTCCTTTGTCTCACTGCAGGAAATACACACTGGGTCTAGAGGATCAAAACTGGCCAGTGGGAGTGGGGTACCCAAGGTAGTGACAGACGTAAGGCTCCTCAGATCACATAAGCAGAAAATTCTCAAGGTGGTTAGAGAAGAATACACCCATTCATGTGGAGGACGTGGAGACCTCAATGGGAATCAACTCAGTAAGTTATTAGGAAAAGTCAGTAGGTCTGGCAGCGTCTGTGGAGGGGAAGCGATGATGTAGAGGTATCGGTGTTGGACTGGGGTGGACAAAGTCAGAAGTCACACGACACCAGGTTATAGTCCAACAGGTTTATTTGAAATCACAAGCTTTTTGAGCACTGCTCCTTTGTCTGACTTCATGTGAACATAAAATTAAATTTAGCTAATGAGGATTAATTCATAATACAGATTCTGAGATAATGGTTCAAATTATAAGGCCCAGCTGAAGCATCTCCTATTTCTCACATTCACTTCAAGTTGAGATAACAGGATTTATTAACACATCCCAGAAATGAGATTTAGTAATTGCACTTACCAGTTTGGGCCTATGTTAAAATGTGGCTCTTGCTCACTTCTAGCAGATGCCACAATCACCTACCACAGTAAGTGGTTAAGATATTGGCCAGTAGGAAGACTACTGTAAGGCACATATTCCATTTGACAACAAGCCCCCCGCCAAAACACAATGGCTGCTTATATCCCACTAAGAGGGATGAAACTCAAGCTGCCTTTAGCTTTAGAGGATAGCTAAATTACCAGGAATCTCAAGGTAACAAACAAAATGTCTAACTATTTTCAGGCTCATTAATTAAACAGCTGATTTCAAAGAATGGCTGCCTGTTTAATTTTCACTAACAGTGCTTGTGATGCAGAAAATAACTGTGAGGAGAGTCCCTGCCAGAAATTCAGACTCTCAAAGAACTCAGGCTGCCATCATTATCAAACTTCCAATTTGCTCACTAGGGATTAAAAACTCTTCTGAGGTCAACATACAGCAGCTGTTCACTGTAATAGTATTATGTAGTACTGAGACTGGCACTTTGGTAGTTCTACTCTCTTACCTTTTCCCCACAGCCCTGCTAGTGTTTTATTTTCTTCAAACATTTATTCAATTCCCTTCTGAATGTTATTGCAGAATCTGCTTCCGCTATATTGCCAGGCAGTACATTCTAGATCACTGAAACTTGGTACATTAAAGGAACATTTCCTCATGTCATAGTCATACAGCACAGAAACAGACCCTTCAGTCCAAGTCGTCCAAGCCAAACAGGTTGTCTAAACTAAGCTAGTCCCTGCATTTGGCCCATATCCCTCTAAACCTCTCCAATTCATGTACCTGTCCAAATGTTTTTTTTAAATGTTATAACCGTACATGCATTTACCACTTGCTGTGGCAGTTCATTCCACATATGAAATACCTACTGCATGAAAAAGTTGCCCCTCAGGTCCCTCTTTAAATGTTTCTCCTCTCATCTTAAAATTAGGCCCTCTACTTTTGAACTGCTCTACCCTAGAGAAAAGACCTTTGCTCTTCACTTTATCTGTGTCCCTCATGATTTTATAAACCTCTATAAGGTCACCCCAAATTCTTTTTGCTAATTACAGGTATCATTTGATTACTAACCTTTTTGCCAGTGGAGAGTTTCATTTTATTTACACTATCAAAATGATTAAAATTTTTGAATACTCTGTCAGATCACCTCTTAACCTTCTCCCCTCTGAGATTTGAATATTTACATTTGTTTATAATCACTGATCTAGTAAAGAAACTGTGCAAGTAATAATTTTGAGCATGTATTTCCTTCCAGTCCTCTTATTTATACTGCATCTACATTTTAGCCATGCATTCTGAGACAGTAGCATGACACAAATGGGGTGCTGGTCATGCTTCAACAGGTAGAGATCACGACCTTGAAAGGTGAGTTTGTTCCCTGCATTTAGTGCAGGTGGTAACAAATATAAATGCAACCAAGGCTGCTATTTAATTTTGGTTTCAGCTCTCTGGCTTTCACGATGGTTATCCTTTGTCATTGGTGAAGGTTCAGGGCTGTAATGGTAGCAATAGTGACTTCTGAATAATTATAGAGACGCAGTTACACTGCACCCAACCTATAATGTAAATGGGAAGATTTTGGTATACAGGAAACTATATTAGGTTGAAGAAAAATTAGAGTCCATTGTACTTTAATAGCACAGAAACATGATGGATTATATACCAATATCACTCATAAACAGGATCTGAAAACTACAGGACTATTGGAGGAAAATATATTGCTGATAATATTTAATTCTAAGAGATTTACCATTAACAATGGTTGAGCCAATACTTAATCTCCCAAATTATACTCTTTTATGTATGTAAATATGCACATCCCACTTTTCTCTACATATTCTCAGGAGCAAAGTCACATTCACTACATATTCCTAATTGTCCTGATAGATTGAAGTGATATCATAGCTGCTTTTAGGATTCTAAAAGACTGGGTAAAGTAGACCGTGATGAATTGTTTCACTGTGTCCAAAATAGTAGAAATACAGGACATAAATTGTATTTAAAGAGATTGGGGAGTAAATTCAAAACTAATCAGTGGGAAGATTTTTCAGTATGGGAGTGGTACATTTATGGAAAAGAACCCCTAAGGACACAGTGGAAACAGATATGCAGATTAATTCAATGCAAATTAAATGGATCTATTTCTTAAATAATATTTCAGGATACATTATATGAGTAACTTGAGACATGACATATGCTAAGTGTACCTTGGAAGGAACAGGTGATATAGAGTTCCCAAGGCTTTCGACCACTAGAGGTTTTCCTCATCTCCCGCTTAGGTTCACTGTAGACTAATTAATAGCGATTGATTGCTATAGTTAGTCAAAATTTTCTTCATTATTGTATTTTGCAACTGTTAGGATTGTAGAAGATGAATTAGGTGAGCTATGAAATATTTTCATCTTTGAATTTCTGTGTTCCTATGTTACAACAGTAGTTTGCAAGGCCAGTTCAAAGGGCAATGAGAGATAGCTACATAATGTGGGACTGGAGTTATGCACAGGACAGACTGATGGAAATAACACGGTCCATATGATCTGACATTTTTCATAGTGCCAGCCCACAAATTGCCAGCTTTACTGAATTAAATTTCACAGCTTGCCATGATAGGAATGATACTCATAACCTCACTGCTGCTAGGCCTGTAACATACCCATCACACTGTTAGTATTCTAATTCTGTTAACAACATTCTAAATATCCAGGAGCAAAAGGTAACAAATCCATAGGTGTTGGGAATTAGTTAATTGTATTAGAATGCAAATTACCATGGAGAATTAAAACGTACAAAAGGCGACTTTTACAGCATAGTGGTAGTGTCCCTACCTCTGAGCTAGAAGGCCTGGGTTCAAGTCTAGCATGCTCCAGAGCTGTGACATAACATCTCTGAACAGGCTGAATCAAAAAATATATACTAAAATGCAAATTTCCAGGAGTATTAAAATATATAAAACGGTCATTTTGTGGCACAGGGGTAGTGTCACTTTCTTGCTCGAAAGGCTCAATTCCCAACTGTTCCAGAGGTGTGTTATTACATGTCCAAAATGTTTCATTTACATTCGTATTTATAATTACCTTAATTCAGTTCAATTTTGGTTTTGTTTTTTTTTAACCAAAAGAGGACTTAAAGTTATAATGGTCTTGTGGTACAATGATAGTGACCCTACCTCTGGATCCAGGTTCGAGACCCATCCATGGTAGAGCTGTGTCATAAAATGTCCAAACATATTGATTAATACATATTCAAACGTATCTAAAGAAAAGCCAGCCAGAAGGATAGGGGAGTGTGTTTGAAAAGAGCAGTAAGCTCTGTGTGAAGAAATAAAGATGTTCTTCCAAAGGAGATTGGTCTTGGAATGTGCTTCATAAACAGGCCTGATAAGTTTAATGCACATCACTGAACCCAACATGGCCATAGTGTGTAGAAACAAACCGTTTCCTTTTATTCCTGCTGTAGGTAAAATTAGTTATAAGCAGTTGTGTAATTATTTCTTTTTCTAAATAAGTCTACTGAAAGTAGTTGATTGCCATACTTCCATCTGCAGTGTACGATGGGAATGCAGCCTAACAACTTTGGTGAGGACAAATGAGATCAACTGCTTGACTTCTTTTCATGAACATCCCAATTCTGGAAAGGCAAAATCTGCCACACTTTATCCCTTAATGGTATTCCATTGCTGCCCAGATTGCAAAGCTGGTGTTCAAAGCAACAGATTTGCTAAATAACAGAACCAAAACGTCTTCCACTTCTAACTTGATTCTGTGTGTGTGTTCAATGACAAAAGGGATGTTTAATTATGTTGATCAGAGAAATGTATTTATTTTGTAGATTTTGAATGTAAATTGTAAAATAAGAT